CGGTTTTAGCGTACAACACGACTCCTCCCCCCTTCCTTACTGCTTAATATGTCTTTTATTTGCATTCTGTCATCGCGGCCTTCAATTTTGGCCTTCAAATGGCGTATCATTCTTTGGAATTTATACAGTAACCGTTTCAATCAGGACTTTCTTTCTGGTCTTTTTCTAAATACCGCCTCTACTAGTCAGAAGTTACAATTAGTGACTATACAGAACAGTATTTGTGTGGATCATACGCTTAAGAAATGTTTCGTGAATGTATTTATGTATGTTGTTTTTGCAAATTGATTAAAAACTAGATACGTCTGTCCCGAGTGGGCAAAAAGTGAAAGTGAAGTTTAAAATTAAAATACTCTGGAGCATATATGCATCGCGACGACTATTCTGGATAACTATTATATCAATGTGCGCCATTCAAAATGTCAAAAAATATTTTATCTTCATTTTCATTATTGTTTTATCACAATTCATTTTGAATTTATGAAACTTAGAACAACCCCAGAGCTCAAAAGTTAATAGGAAGCCAAGAAGCTAGAAGCTGTTGGTGAATGGGGGAAAATTTTCCATTGGGAGAGTCGCCCTTCGAGGAGAAATGCGTTCCTGGGAAAGACCGTCCTAAGAGAAATATCAGCACAGAAAGCACTCTCTCCGGGGTATAAAATCATTCTAGGAAATTCTTTCAAAGAAGGATTCCGTAAATGAAACCTGTTTTAACCGTTACCTCATCTAAGTTTAGATGGGTGGTAAAAAAAAAAAAAATTGCGGAACAATGAAGCGTTCTGCTTCGGTGATTTGGTATTTTAGAAAACCTCCTCCACCTTTAAAAAGAGAATTCATTATTGAGGATGATGCATGAAGTCCCATTTATTATTCGATGCACGGCTCCATCGAACGATACAGGCCAATATTCAAAGACAATCCAAAGTCACTGAGATTATGATTCTGGACATGTAACAAATGATTTGACTACACTCTTTAAGTAAATGAAAAAATTAAGCGAGTGGGTAAAACCAGTGAGTGACTTTTATTTCTCTCAAAAAAAAGAATAAAATCTATATTTTTTTCCTAAGCAAAACCCGCTCGCTTTGTTTCAAGAAAGTAGAGGATGAGAAGGGTTTGATTTGTGTCTCGTGCTAAGATGTAGGCTTTAAATTGTGAAGGCATGATACTCCCGAGTGCCAGAAATGGTGAATGTCCCTTTACAAACCCTGTAAGGTTTTGTGGAACAATTACCCAGTCAAGTCAGTAAAATCAATTTCTATAAAATCGTCCTCATTTGTAACCTCCCCTCTTGGTGACGCGGGAACTGCAGGTGAGAATAAAAAATCTCTGAGATTTTTCTTCAATGGGGCAAAACTACTAGTCAAATACCATTAAAATTCATGAGATGTTCTTCACAGGCTAATGGAAACTTGAGATGAAATGTCCTGGTAACATATCTAGGAAGATAAGATCGAAGACGTCCGGCTGTTTTTTTTCCAAGAAAAAGGTAGATGAATCCCCCCCCCCCCCCCTCTCCCCTCCCGCGTCCTCATTCTACAAATGAATAGAGCCGGAGAAGGAGAGACGGAAGATGTACCACATCTGAGGTGACGAAGACGTCGCGACTGAACTTACCTATTTCGACAATTTTCGGGAGTTCCCGCGAAATAGAGACAGAGGAAGACCAGCGCCATATGTATTGTTTGTTCTGAAGCATTAAGGAGATTACTTCGAGAATTGAGCAAATCATTGCCTGTTGGTCACAGGACAGTTCGACAGACTTGATACATGCGTTTCAATATTTCCGGAAAAGTCTTTATTTATCAAAATGTTCTTTTAAGCGTTCTTGCAGCAAAAAATAATAATTTGGAAGATGTTTACAGCATTAAAAAATCCTTGGGAGTTGTCATTTTATCATACTCTGAATGCACTAAAAGCGTTGCACGTTTACTATGCCTGCGATGCTTTTGATGCAATGCCATCATCAAGCATTGTGCAGAAGCAAGGCTCCTCAAATATCCTCCGGCGGTGTAAATTCTTCAATTACAAATTCCAGAAAAGACTCCTTTAAAACTCTAAAATTAAGAGAGACTAGAGAGAATGCGTGAAGGACGAAAGCGAAGGTTTCAGTGATTATTTGTGAGAAGAATCTTCAGACAAAGGATCGTTGTGGAAGAAGGCCTTGTAGTCGATGGGTTCCACGAGAGTCTCCCCACGAATCGAAATCATCCTCGAGATGGATCGCATCGGCTTCCTTCGCATACTGCTCACTGCAACACACACAAACAATAATGAGAAGTCAGCACGATGTCTTCTGTCCTTCTCGATGAGCTAACTATAATGTTGGCTTTCAAATCGCAGCCTAGGGCAAGGAGTGGTTGGGTACATATTTATCACGAATATATAAAATGTAATGCTTGCTTCATAAACGTCATGGTAATTGGTAAGACCATCTCATTTTTCCCCGTCAGGTGACTTAACACGTTGGCGACAATGCGTCCTGATGCCAGGATGCATATTTTTTTTTCAATGAATACCCTCTGGAACTGTTGAGAACGTTCCTAATAAATATGCGCGTGGTCCCACGCGGCGGACAAGCAAAAATAGGCTGGTCGTCAACGTGATAAAATACACAAAAACCTTAAATGCTTTTAGATTAAATGAATCTAATCTTGATGATTCTTCATATTCACATCGAACATCCACGTACTCGGAAGAGATACTTGTAAATGTAATTCGTATTTTGACGGTTTGGAATGACTTTGGAACAGAGAAACTTACATTTCGGAGTGTAGGTGGCTGAGATCCAATCACTGTACGTGTCGAAGCAGCGAAAATTCGACTTTAGTCCGGATTGAAGAACTTTTTTCACCTGGTTGTCCGCATGGACGAAGACCAACTCCTGACCTCGTTCTGACAGATCGGACAAGATTGTCTCCATCGCCTGGCAAAAATCATAGTCCCAATCAATGACCTATGCCTACGATGAGGGTCCATCGCACTTGAGATTTCAAGACGTCTCCATCTCACTTTGACGGAAGTGAAGTCAACGGCGGACATCTTCTCGCAGTCCATGATGACCGGGACATCCAGGTTCTTCCCGGACTTTTTGATTGTGGCATTTCGAACCAGTTCCGTTCCTGCAAAGGTGATTGGGCCCTCCGGCTTGATCACTAGATAGTTGTGACCCTCCAACTGCAATGAACCGCCTTTGAACCAATTGCCTTTGCAATTCCAAAGCTTTCCTTGATCCAGGTTTCATTTAATCTCCGCTCGGTTGGTGACAAGATTCATTTAGTTCGACTGAATTATACTGACTGTTCCCTGCACTCTCACCTGACCGAGAGGTTTATTTGTCTCATTCTCATTCTTTCAAGAAGATTTATAATAATTGGACTAACCACTAATAATGGAATAGGTTCCTTTGGCCGTTTTATTCCTCTGTTAATGGGATTCGTGACTTGCTTCTTTGCTGATTTTTCTTTGACTCAGCAGTATTGCAACTTTCGAAAAGTTATGCGATATTAGAGGATTTGACGACGGAGAACGACTTTCTTCATTGATCAACCGCAAGGACAGTGTAGCATTTCGCTAAATTTTACTAACCTGTCTCTTCTGTGCAACGACTCTTGGCCTGGCGATGCCAAAGAGAACCAGAATGATATCGATTGCCACACCAGACATTATGCCGTACTGCATTCCCACAAGAAGGCAGGGAAGGAAGCAGGCAAACCAGGGAATCAGGTCAATTTCTGCAAAGAGTGTCATTGATGTGAACTTCGACAATCCCATCACCGACATTAGTGAAAATGAATTATTAGACACTGACTAAAGTGCCAGAAACTCACTGTTGGTTTTCCAAATCTTGATTAGTTCTTCGTATTCAAATATAAAGACGACGGCGCAGATGATGACAGCCGCCAGGGAGGCTTTTGGAATGTAGAAGAAGTAAGGTGTCAAAAGTCCCAAAGCCAACAATACCAGGGCACCTACAAAATTACAAAATTGCGAAAATAAATCCAAACCGTAAAAGACCTCGCTGCATCGCTGGATGCAGGAATGCTTCATCGAATAAATTAAAGAAAAGTCTATGGATACTTCTGAACAGCGGGAAAGGTTCATCGGGAAAACTGGAAAGAGTAAACATTACATAAACATAAAGACAAAAAATAATGAAAATTATGGAAATCCAGCTGGACGGACATACTGTAGATTCGATTTCGCTTTTCTAAAACCTGAACTTCCCATCTTGAATGAGATTGAAATGCATTAATGGAGACTGGAGATGAAAAAACTCACCCGTGATGATTCCCCCAGCTTGAGTTTTCACACCAGATGCGGCATTGATGACAGTTCTGCAGAACGACCCAGTGGTCGGCATGGAGGAAAAGAAGGACCCAGCCACATTACACAGGCCCACCGCTATGATCTCCTGGTTGAAGTCGATCGCTTTCCCTCGAGCTACACAATCAACACGACCATCCCATGATTTCTCATCATGATTTTCTTTTGGCGAAATTGTATATTTTAGTATTGTTGCGTTCGATTGAACTGAAAAACGGTGTGTCCATTAATTAATTATATTCCTACAATTATGTAAATTAAGTAAATTCAACTGTACACAATTTACTGGATATATTCTGTGACTAATACTTTTTTTTTCCCAAGATGGCCTTTGGGTGTTGGCGCTCCATCTCCCTTGTCATGAATTGAAATGGACTTAGAGAAAAGTTCCATGACTCACCGAAGATTTTGGCGATGGCGATGGTCTCGAGGATGCCAACGAAGGGAATGACGATAATGGACGTTCCCAGATTGGAAACCATCTCCATTAAGTTCGTCTCCGTCCCGTTGTTCGTCGTGTAGAAAGGCGGGATGGCGACGGGAGGGATTCCGGACACCACATTTCCTATTTTCCCCACCCAACAACATCCATCAGTCATCGCAGCTTATTGTGATCGCGGTTATATGAAGGGTGATAATAAAAAAGTTCCCGAGCTGCTTAGCTAAGTTCTTTATTCTTTCATGTACAGATCCTCACTTATAGCATCTCGTGTTGGGTCTTGGGGATACATGAATTAAATTTCTCGCTTAATGACTTTCATTTGAATATTTTGAGAATCTTTTTGAATGGATTCCTAGACTAACTACGTGGAAGTGACTTAGGATTTAACCACCTTAAAAATTCGGAAACCCGTCAAATTTAGCTCAGGAATAGACAAATGTGCCACGTCCCTGGAACCCTGAAGGTATTTGAGCAATGCAAACGATTCGCAAAAAGCAAGACCTTTAGCAGGAGTGACTCAAATTTAAGGCGGTCATCCACATCTGTTGAGGAGTGGAATCAGACGGGGAATGGCTGAATGAAAAATCCTAGTTCTTAGATATGTCATGACATGTCTGAGCTCTCTGAGGCAGTGGCGAGCGGTTAGGGCATGGCTTCCCAATTTTTTTCACGTGCGACCCCAAAAATCACGATAATACCTTCCAGGACCCCAAGCACTGGTCGAAGTTCGACAGGCCATTCCACTTCCACTTCATGGTGTTTCACTTAAATCACGTCCGTTGGACTTTGTCTACAAATTGAGTAAGTAGATCTTATGTTATTTTGTTTTCTTACATCGTTGAGTAACATCTACATGAGAAATGACATCAGTGCATGAAAAAGTAAAGGAGTTACGGAACCAGTCCGACAACCTTTGATCGCCCCTCATAGTGATTAGCCGCCTTTGCTTTTATGATCTGTTTTTGCTTTCCCAGTCCGCATAGGACTTTTCTCACGTAATTTTCACAAGTTATTGCGATCAGTCTGTCTGATACAGTGATCAGATTAGACAGTCTTAGTTACCCAAAAAATTGAGCTTGTGCCCTCTCAAATAATCTCTTCATATTATGCTTGTATCGCAAATACCGTCGCATTCTCAGCATCTATGCCCCGTAAAAGCAATAATTATTCCCCCAACATTCTTCGTTGTGAGATCTTGAAATACGAATAGAACGCTTTGACAGTAAGCGAGAAGATGCTTTGAGCATTACGAAAAGCTGGCAAAGGGGGCATAGAGTAGCTGGGAATAAAGGGAACATAGAGAAGCAGCAGAAAAGCTCGGAATCCCTCAATCCTCGCTTCACAAACTCTCTGTTGGATTGAGTGATCAACCGCTTGTAGTGATCTTTTTGGACTTGGCTCAAGGTGATCACAATGAACAGCGGCGACAGTACTACAATTTTCAGCCCTTTTCGGAGCACTTTCGGGAATTACTTCGTCTAACTTAAAAAATATAATGCGACAATTCTCCATCGCAATGTCCTTTTAACCTTTTCTTCGAGATGAGGTTTATTATTTATTCAATCTCTCCATTTTTAATTACAATATTCTAATTTAAGGAATCAAAAGAATTTTGCTTCGAATTTGAAAAATACGAGGTGATGCCTACAATCAAAGCTTTTCTTTGGAATACGATTTTCGATGGGGTATTCCATTCCTTTTTTTTTAGATGTCCTTTTGTCGCCGTCCGTCTTTGATTCCTTCATACCTGTAAGAGACAGAGGCTTCTTTTGATCGTCTCCGTTGACAAAGAAGGCGACGAGACCGCCAAGGAGGATGACGAAGGCGTTGCGTGCTGTACAGACGAACCAGACCGTCTTGTTTAGCACCTTCAGCGTCCGCTGCCCCTTGATCACCTTCGACAGGTCCCACATCTTCATTTTCTGTAAAATATATCATTCCCATTCATTTTCTGGGGTCCCTTAACCGCTCAGGCTTGAAGTTTTACTCTGTTAAGTCATTTTCTGGGGTCCCTTAACCGCTCAGGTTTGAAGTTTTACTCTGTTAAGTCATTAAATGGAAGTTTTTCTAACTTGCAAAGAAAGGCAGTGCTCCCATGACGCAAGGGGAATCTCCAGAGTACAAGGTAGTTTCGCGACTGTCTCTTGTCTCTGAAGACCTATGTCAACTTGGTTTGAGGGGTTAAAAGTTTGGAGCTAGTAAAGGTACGAACGAGTGGAATGCAGATGCTCGTTTTGAATGTTAAGAAGAGAAAAATACAATTAAGGTGAGCGCGACCCTTCACCTTTCAAATTGCCGTCAGATCGTCTGAATGTCTTCATAGATTAATGCATTCTTTTCTTGTACCGCCTGAGGACATTTTAAAATCTGCATTGGATTCGAGGAACAGTTGAAAGGTGATAAAGCTTAGTCCTGTGAAAGATGGCTTCTCTATATGTCATGTGGGATATCCTTACTCGCGAATGATTATCCCAGGTGCAACAGTGGCAGAAAAAAAAACCTTCCGATGAAAAATGGACTATGGCATCAATATCAAGCATTATTCATTCATTCATTCATATGTACATAGGATATCCCAAGGAAATCACGGAATTTAGTTTGCAAACCCCTCGGGTGATGGCATCAGTTCTAAGAGAAGCTTTTGGTTGCTCCAGCCGAGAGGATGACAATTCAATTCTCCACCCCTCGGCATTGACGAAAATCGTTATAATCGTTATCATCTCTGCCCTCGGTGCAGATTCCACCAGCTGTCCTCAACGGCTCCTACTCGACCTCATTTTTTCAATTTTTCTTTTTTAACGCGGAGTAGGAGTCTCTCTGGAATTTACAATTTGCCGTTGGGCTTGTCTTCGGCAACAGAGATATCGAGAGGCAAACCCATCTCTAACAAAAGGCATGGTCGTGCCTCACGGCAAGAATCGCTGTGCAACACAGGCCTTTTGTAGCGCTCCTTTCCTTCCTTGTGGTTTTACTTATCAAGAGGAGCGCTGGTGGGAGCTGAGAGGGTGTAGGCTCAGATCCCTGGAGTATCTGGCAGATAGTGTCCAAGTTACCCGATCTGGGGTTCCTATGGAACCCTTCACTAAAGGATCATAGGCCCTTTACTTTCAGCTCAAATAAATAGAGATAAAAATGTCCATAAATAACTCTAAATTTACTCTTTCAAGATGTATAAAAATTAGATTCTTTGAGAATATATTAAAATCGCTTTCTATAAAAAGGTTGTAAAAGTTTAAGATCACAAAGTAAAAGATCACAAAGTTAGATCACAAAATAAAAAATCACAAGGACATATCACCTAACCCTAACTTGACAGGATTAGGGGGAGAGTCCGGCCAATAAGGCAACTGGGCTCTTTACCCCGGGAGGGTAGAGCAAGCAGGGAAAGGCATAAAATATTGGGAAGTGTTGGGCCGCAGAGAGGATAGGCCGGTCGCCCTTGCACTTCAAAGTTCTATAAAAAAAAAGGTCTCTGTGGTAGCTGACCAAAGAGATGTAGTTGTAGAGTCTAGCTGGAAGATCGAAGAAAGAGTCTCACGCCACACGGCCGACGAGCACAAAGCCAAGTCCTCTTGCCTCCACACAGGTCCAAAACACACTCCGTCCGGAAGAGCTCCTCGGAGGCTTCCTCGATTTTCCTTCCCGGTTGCCCGATCCACTCGTTTTCACCAGCACTTATTAACTTTCAGGTCTCTCAATTTCATAACATGAGTTTAAAGGTTGCTTTACAATATTAATCATTCAATGCTTGAAACTTAACCAATGCATTATCTCACAACCAAACAATGCCGATGATCGATATGGCGACGTCCACGGTCTTGCAGACCGGGACCGCGGGTCGGGGAAAAGAATGGCTAAATGTACACTTTCCCCTCAGAGAAACTCCGAAATTGATAGCGACGCTACAAAACAGATATAAAGTGATCTGAATGTAAGGAAAAGTACATAATGACACTTTCTGGACTTTTCTCCGATTAAGACAGATTCGCAATACTCGAATCTAGAGTGTTTCTAAATGTTTCTTCCTTCAATGAGTTCTGTGTTCTCTTTTAGAGAAAATCTCCATCATTTCAAGTTCGAGTTTCTTTTTGCTTTCGGTGATGCCATCCTTCTTACGAGCGGCGGAAGTCCTAGGCTAGTACTGATAGTAATGACAAGTACTTGCAGTAAAATCGTAAACAGCTCTTCTCAAAGAGAGTTATGGATTGACTCATAGCCGGTGAGTATGACTTCAGGGCCAGTGTCCAGCGTGCAGACACAATTCCAATATTCGCAGAGGAGTGATTCTGAACTTAGTTTAACTGTCTGCTTTTAGAAGACACTTGCTTGCATTTTTGGAATTTCCCGCATTCTGACAATAACCTACTTCGCTCCTCAATACCTTTTAAGTCAGGAATTACTGCTCTTATTTAAAACTGCCATCGAGAGGAAATAGTCACATGTCTTCAAATGACGAATTTTGGCTTCCTAGATCCACTGTCGACTGACAGATGCAGATGAACTTTGGGAACCTATATAAGAAAGAAAGGTGGAAGTTTTCTCTCTTTTAGTTCCAGAGAAAGCTCCCGTTGTGAATGCGTTGAACTCTCACGCTCTGGGGTGAACATAGCGCATAACCAGGATTTTAAAATGTTTCTAGGTTTTCTCCACCATGAAGCATGAAATGAACTGAAAAGACCCTGAAGCCCTAACATTGCAGGCATATTTTCAGGCCTCTCTCCAAATGAAACCTGTCCTCTCAAAATCGCCTACACCATAATGCGAAGGGAGATAATGAGACTTGAGACGTACGTAACCCTCATCCGTAAGTACAGGGTGTCCGCATTGAATGGGAACAACTTCGAAATGTCATAAATCGCGTGATATTGTACATATAGACATGCGGATTGAATTGAAGAAAGAACCAATATCTCAAGTTTTTCCCATCGCATTGCATTGCATTGGCATGGCACTCCGCACATGCGCATCCGCCTGCTCCGCGCACTGTACAGAGGAATTTTCCGCATACAAGTCAGTTTCGAGGATTCCGAAGGATCCTTACCGTAAACAGTTCTGAATCTCCGCTGTACCTGTGTGGCCAATTTAGACTCGACCATCTGATCAGAAGGCACTGTGTATGTTATACACACAGTGCCTTTTCCTGCGGAGTAGCCATGTTACTCGGAACTGACTTGTATGCGGAAAATTCCACTGTACAGTGCGCTGAGCAGGCGGATGCGCATGCGCGGAGTGCCATGCCAATGCAATGCAATGCGATGGGAAAAACTTGAGATATTAGTCCTTACTTCAATTCGATCCGCATCTCCATGTGTACAATTTCACGCGAATTATGACATTTCGAAGCTGTTTCCATTTAATGTGGACACTATAACCAGACCACAGCAACTAACATGAAAAAGACGGTGGTTGCAGAAATGGGTTCAAATGGAATGGAACTGGAATGAATTTTTTAATGGGTAATGGACAAACCTGGAGATGGTACCAACTGACTCTTAAGAGTTTCCATTGTGAAACCCAAGTTAAGTTATACGTTCATTTCCCACTTGTACAGAACCATGAACGCGAAGGGAATACTCTGGGAGTATTCCCTTCGCATTGATAGTTGATTAGCTCCACACGGAGCTAATCAACTGCAAGCATTCTAGAGACAATAACAGACACTCGTCGGTTCCCTTTCAACAGTAACAACTGAGACCGACTGAAAGCGTCTGGAAGTTCTAATCACATCATGCACCCGAGGGTTCAGAAACTATTACTTCAGGTGTGAAGAGGAGATGGATTAAAGTGAAGTCATGGAATCTGGCGAGATCGGTTCATATTATTCCATCACAGCCTCGTCTTCGTCCTCGAATGCATGAAATGAAATCAATTCTAGAGTTCATTCCAGTCTTAACTTTTCAGTTGTTTTACAGTTATGTGGCTCCCGGGGAAATAATGCAGGAGATTGAAATGATATTCAAAAGCGAGGAAAACAGAATATTAAAAAAGCAAAAGGAATCCAAGTCGATGGATTATATAGATATGGAAGGATCATATAGCTCGGATCCCTCAACGAACCTTACAAGAGGTACGAAAGAGGTCTAGTTCATGCTGATATTCTCACCCGGAGGAAGAGTAGGATTACTATGGAGACGAAGGCCATGAGAAGATCCCACATGTGAGTCTCGCTGAAGTGGGCGAACACCTCCTGGATGACTTCGAGAAAGCCATGGCCATGAACCACGGAGTTGAGGCCGAACAATGCCTTAAACTGGGAGACGGAAATGGTGATTGCAGCAGCAGATGCGAAGCCTGACGTCACCGGCGTCGAGATGAAGTTGATCAGGAATCCTGCACCAAAGTTTTGCAACAAAAAAATACGAATCAGGAAAGGCCAATACAGGAACTTGGAGACTCTACTCTGACAAAATCTTCCAATCCGTTAAGGTCAGAAATCTTTACCCCTTCGCGCCGGCGACACGAAGGTGAGCGTGATAAACATGCAGATTGGAGGTGCATTCGTCTCCCAAAGGTTAACCCTTTAAACGGGGGAGAGTCACTTTTGCCACTTTCATTAAATGTTCACGTGATAAGCGATAGAGGACCTTTCGGCAATCCCATTCTGCGATCTGGTGTTATCTTAGCATGAAGGAACTTAGTGGCCTTCCACAAAAATCCAAGCCCATTACTCAATACCTTTGGACAGAGGATGAGATCAAAATTACTATATTTCCTCTCTTCGGGAGCGGAACAGTGAACCTAAATCATCCAAATGACAAATACCTTCCCCCTCCTATCTCCCCTCCCCCCCCTCAAAAAATTATATATATGTATAATATAAGTAATAAATGAAGATGATAATTTCGAGCATTTCTCATGACATCTCAAGGGAACTTTTTTGTGTGAACCTGTTGGTACAGATATACCGAGATGGTTCGTAGAAACCTGTGTATGCGAGGTGACCAAGCCTGTGATGCATATTTTTAGACCATGAATCATCGATGGAATGTCAGCAAATATGAGGCGAGTTCAAGATTACACCACGAAGGAAGACCCCTACTTCAGGACGAAAAGACCCGAGGCCCGTGGACTTCACATCTCCATTGCTAAGAATCTTCGAGAATATTCTTCTCAGCCCTCTGAAAGAATCTGGTGTCCTTTTTAGAGACCCCTTCCAGTTCATCAATAAAACAGGCTTGCCAATCAAAGATGCTTTAGCTGCAAGGATTATCTTAAACATTCATACACTTTTCATTGTTGTATCAGTGTGCAATAACTGGAAAATTATATATTATGCCCACCTCGTTGATGCTGTCACCCAACAGGCTCGTCCTGCTAATTCTCCAAAAACTTCTCCAGACGTTCAGCAAACCTTTCGCTAATTGTCACTTTAGTCCTAGCTTTATCAAGATTTATAATAGGGTAATCACAGACATATTTTGGTTTAGTGAAGTACTTTATTTCATGCATTATTAAGCTTCTAGGTATTTCTTACTCGTTTCACAGATGAAGCACTTTTGATAGTGAAGCGATTTGGGTTGGGTATAAAAATAAAATATGAGTACATTTTGTGCTCATTTTGTAGAGCGAGGGATAATCCACAAGTTGGTACTAGGGGCCAATGAGGAAAAGTTGGAGTAATGTACTATTCATAGAGATCATAATCTTCATTGAAAGGAAGAAACTAGATCTCACGAAGGATCACGAAGGCAAGCCACAATCAAGAGTGGCGGCTGTTGTCTATCGACTGGTATGTAGATGAGCATTATCTTGCTGATGGAGATCTTCAGGTATGAGAATCACCCATCTGCTTAATTGTGTCGATTGGATCAGCGACTTCATGTGTACCACCCAGATTCATTTTGTAACATAACGCACAAGTTTCTCTCTCAGGGATAGATGAAATTATGAGCGGTGTGTGACGAATATCGTCGGATCATGAGCAGTGGATGGCCCATCATTTACGTGTCAACTCGTCACCAAGGTTACTCTATTCAAGGAATCCTTCTGCTCAAAGTCACATTTACTTCCAATCATAGACCCGACCCAGACGACTTGTCTTTTTTGGCCTCAAGCGATTCGCGGTCAGATTGAGGCGACCGCGAAAGAAAATGGAATGACCATGAAAGAAAGTTGCCCCAAAGAGGAATCCAATCACATGTACGAATTAGCTAAAAGCTCGAAATAGGATGGATGAAGGCACTCTTACCGAGTTTGCAGAGGCCGAGGATGAGTTCCACGATGCCGGTGAGGAAACACAGGAGAACGGCATAATCTACGTATTGCTCGCCAAATCGTTGAAAAGTAATGTATTGACCGACGAGAAGGCAGAGAATGGCATTTGGCCCAACGTTCAGATCTTTCACTTGCCCCACGAACAGGTACACGAAACATCCCATGAACGCCGAGTACAGACCATACTGTGAGGGGGAAACGAAAATGTGCAGGAGGTGAACGTCGATGATGCTTCCAAATTCAGAGTATCATAAACGAAGTTAGGAACTATCTTGCCAGATTGAAAATCATGCTTCACTCCAGGCTCCCTGAATAATCATAAGGGCATTACGTATTTGCTATAAACGTGCTTCAAAACCCCTGGCATTTTCCCTATCTCATAGTGAAACGCTAAGCCCATGGACGAAGAACGAAAATCGAAATTAAAATGCATTATTCCAAATTCGAACACGTCGTAAGTAAGGAGAAGGAGAGATGAATAGAAAAAAAGCAGAGGATGGAATTTCAATATCGCTTTGAAATGGATGAAGATTGAAATTGACCTGGACGGGGAGGTTGGCGATGGCAGCGTAGGCGAGACCCTGAGGGATGACAGTGAGACCGACGGTCAAGCCTGCGATGATGTCGCACAACAAGCATTCCAGGTTATATCGGAAAAGCCACTTGGTGATGGGAAGCCTCTTCTGGATGCCCTTCCTGACCCCTCGACGGCTTGGGGGGCAGGGACAAAGGGGACCGTCGTCTGAAAAGTCTTCCACCAATATGCTTCCTGGCGCGTCCCGGTCCAGTATATCTTATGACATAAGCACAGAGAACTTGATTTCAATTAGTGAGGCAGCTGCTTTCTGTACTTGGAGTGGGGGGAGGGGGGGGGGGGAAGGGGGGGGGGGGGGAAACAGGATAGGGATTTTCTGAATTATTTCTATGAAAGAAGAAAGGAAGATGAATTATGAGTAGGGCTGTACCGATGGCCACATTAGAACTGTGGGTCGATGGTCGATTTTGACCTCATAACCATCAGCCGGTGCTGGTGTCGGTGCTGGTGCTGGTGCCGATTGTGGTCTGTAGAACATGAAATCGCATAGTAATAGGCCTACTTGGCAGCCAATGGCCTCCTTAAAAGGATGGAGACCTGTCTAGCCTGTCTGTCTATGTGTCCATCAGTGGTTAGCTTGTTATCTATTGCTGCCTTTTGAGAGCATTTAACGACACATCTTTCGCAAAAGCATAACATGAAAGGAGGTGCTATGATTTCACGTTCTTTTACCTATATTTTCCTGTACCGGTTCCTAGATTCGAGCTGAAATATTGAATATAATCTGATCGATATTTTGGTCCGGGAGAGGCCGGAAGGTCTCTTTCAATGAGACATGAGAGCCGGTGCCTAAGTTAGTACTGGCATCCGCTGCTTGCAACCCTACCGATGGCCGATGGCGCCGATGGTACAACACCAGCGGCCAATACCGGTGGTTGCCGATGTATCGGTACAGCCCTAATTAGGAGCGAAATAAAATTAATGCCATGCGCGAGAATAACTTATTTCCCAACAACACCGTGGGTATATTGCTCACCCTGCATTATTATCATAAGATGACAGTTATTATTGTGATTTCATGCGTTCACACCAGATACCATATACCAAGACCTCCATATTTACTGTGTGTAAAAAAAATGCCACCTCTTTATTTTATTAACCATCTCTATCCCATTTTCACATGTGCCTCAAAGTTTTCAGCACATGAAGTCTCAGATGAATATGAAATATTCCTGGCAAACTTAAGAAAATCTCAACCAGTGAGTCAAATGCAATAACTTTTTTAAATTGAAGTCTGAAAATGTTCAATGAAGTAGCCATCTGCCTACTGCCCCTCGCTAGATACATCCCTTCCGTGCGCTCCAACACGACTGAGCACAGGCAGCAGTCTCAGGGAACAAACTAGTTTTTCATACTTCTTACCATGGACGGCTCGTGATATTCAGCGCTAGTGTATTCTTAATGGAGGTAGGGTTGGCCCGGGCCTACCCTGCCTCCATCGACGATCCACTACTGCTGAATATCACGAGCCGCCACTGCTTCTTACCCTGTGTTTTCACAGTTAATTTGGATTCTGGATGCATTTTTTAAATATCATCATTTTCTGTAAGCCTAAGATCTAGCTCTCCATTCTTTTGCTTTAAGCTTTGTCTTGTCATGAACCACAGAATTCAAAAGCACGAAGAATATCATGGGATTCGGTAAAGAGGATAAACACCTTCTGAAAGACGAGAGAGATGAAAGGGTACAGCTTTTGCTGTTTCATGAAGATATTCCTTTGGGGAAAAGCCGACAAATTCAAATCATATAAACTCCCTATCAGCTAAACAAATCTTCAATAAGTCTTATTTGAGTTATAAATAAAAAAAACTTCTATATCATTATGTCATTGAAAGTCTTAGAAAAGTAAAATCACATGGGACAAAGATAAGCCCTCTACTGTATTTCCCAAATGATGAAAAAATATGGTTAATGGTTATAAAATGACTCAGGTGTTATAATTTTCTCAAAATGTTCCTCACTTTCAAATTGGAAAAATCAGTCACTTTGTATATTGGTTAATATACGCATAGACTTATTCAAGCCCCAAATTGATTTATGCTAAAATCATGAGAAGAAAACTTGATCGAGAAAGGATTCGTAATGGTTGAGAATTGGAATGTAACTGTGGGCTTATCAGTATATTGCATAGTGAGGCAATAACACCTCTCCTTAACGAAAGGAGGCAAACTACGAGACTGCCCTCGCCCAACTTGTAATAAGCCTTGTAATAGGCTTTCGTGCCCTGAGGCGAGAATTCCGATGCAGTTGTCTCACCGGAGGGATGATGAGAGCTGAGCCGTGAGATGGAGTTCATGTTTCCCTTCCCTTTTATGGTCTCGGTGATCGAGACGAGCTGATTCTCTCCGGTGCCCTGGACCATAGCAGCGTATCCAGGAAAACGCACTTTACCGTCCTTGATCGAATGTATGGATACGCACGATAGCCTCGGCGGGGTTGGAAAGAACTGGAAGGGGAAGGACCAGAGCAGAGGGCTTTTATCCTGATTCCGAAGGGAGCTGGCCCCTTTTCACAGAATGCACAAACGATTCCCTTCCTTTGAACTTTCTCCATATGCAGTCAGATTCCCCCAGGGATTTTTTATGCTTAACATATCTTCACTCGAAAGCATGATTCAAGGAAGCCCTACTTAGCCTTGTTTAGCCTTCGATTCTACGAGTTTCCCTCGATTCTCGAATTTTGCCTAAGTCCCACCCGGTGTTCACAGATTCGAGATAGTTATTAAAAAACAATTAGAGAACCGACAAGACGATACTTGATAGTCATAGGTATGCCAACATTTATACGTATTAAAAAACGTTTTAACTACACAAAAATGTGGATTTACATAATGGAGATGTGAGGATGAGTCGTGACACCACAATCACCCCACATTACAAAGCAGATGGTTTTACAATTCAAATACGAATTAGCTGGTTTGCCAGCGTCGCATGATGGGGGGGGGGGGCATTAATGTTCTCTTGACTGTATAAATTGCATACATATAGAGAATGAAAAAAATCGAATGCAACGACATTTCGATGCAGATCCTCTTTTATTTTATGGGATATAATACAAAGATATGGATCTTAGAGTATAGAATCTGGGGATATACTGAAATATGCGAGACCTTCGTATTCGTATACAGGTTGAAGAAGCCACGAGTCGGGAAAGCAGGTATGCGCACTCATACGCCGCGAATGTGAAGACTTTTCCTCTGTCGGAGTCTATCCTCATTCATGAGGCGGCGATATCTACATGATATCTAAACAGGACCTCATGTCTTCTTCCTTCACTTCCTCCCCTATTTTATCCATCTCGGGACATTTCTATTCCGCATCTCGAATCTCTTCTCCGTCAAATTTCCATGAACGAGGCCATCTTCTTTCCTTCTTGTTCTCCACCCTCAATGTGAGTCTTTCATGCTTGGTTTGCTCTTATGTAACTGAAAGACGAGGATAACGAACAGTTAGAGGAAAGAAACTTTATCAATTTGAGTTGAGGATCTGTGACTATCGTGAGACGAGAGAACAAATTGTACAAGTCAAGTAATTGTTGTACAAGTAATTGTACAAGTCTTCCTATTGGTTTTCCAGTATACAAGATTTTTACGTTGAAAGTAAAAGAAAAGCGAGGATTTGTCAGAACTTTTCCATTAGTTATGAGTTAAGTATTTAAAAACTATGTACGAATTCAATTTTAATGAATAAAATTTTTAAATCTGGTGTGCTTGGTAGCACCCAGTTTGACTATCTCGCGAACTTCGGGATAGAGTTCCTTACCAATGTGCCACAAAGAAGCACTGTATCAATGACGGATACAGCATTTCTTTGTGAAAGAAACTCCGTCCAAGATTTTCCTCGGAAAACGTCTTATGTTACTGCAATGTTGATGGAAAACGTTACCAACTGGGACATAATCTGGATCTATATTAACATTACTACCGGAAAAGCATAGGCTTTATTGGCCCTGAATTAGACCGATATTCTCCCAATATACTAGTATAATTATTTCGTTCATCATTTCGTATCATATCATCACCTTTACCCAGACGTTCCCATCAATAGGACGTAGCCTGTACTGTTACATAACCCCTGCCCATGCATAGTACAGTATCTGTATCAGTATCAGTTCCAGGTAGTCACTTAGCAAAATTCCCCTTGCATCCTTGAAGACAGAGGTCATGACCACATGGAATGCATCGTCAACGTTTATCTCTTGTCTATCTGTGAAGGAAACCTTGCCAAGATATTGAGCACCATCAAGCTCGATCACTCGAGCCGTCACCGAAAGGCAACTCCAGCAATCTTCTCAGTGATGCATTGCATCAGTTGATTGATCGTGTGCAAATTTTTGGCATATACCTGGTCTTCAAATGAAACCCCACAGCCAGAAGTCGAGTGGTATCAGGTCAGGCGACCTGGGAGGCCTCTCGATAGGCCCAACCCATCTTTCTTCAAAGCAAAACGAAGCTTCACTTCGGAAAGATTTCCTTCACAGATAGACAATAAATAAACGACGGCGACACGTTTCCCAAAAGAAAGTTCATCGGCATTATCAGAAAACCTTTTGGAGCAGCAAAAATTAACTGAAAATGACCGCAAATCGGGCGTCCGTTCTACCCTAAATCTCAATTTTATGTTGAAAAACGTTGCTTTTCGTTTTGTGCTTATTCATCCCATTTCCTATAAGTACAGTACTCCTCGTAAATTTTCATGTTGTTTGGTGAATTAAAGGACGCTCTTTAACATGCAACAAGCCGTTAGCTAATTAAGGCATTAATGGCCGAACTATAACTGTTCAAAGTCGTCCAGTGACTGTTGACTCACCCTGTAGAATAGATTTCACGGACGCCCCCTATGTATTCTAGATCTCCTCCGCGGATGAAACCATTACGAGTTTCAAAAGGATTTTCATCAGGAATTTGAGCATTCTGATTCATTAAAGGATATAAGGTTTTGAAGGTCCTTTATGTGGGATGGTTGTACTCAATAGAGTACTGCTTGTATCATACCATTTGGGTACTCTCCGTGTGATTATCGAATCTATATTCAATCTCATCTGCTAATTAACCCTTTTTAGCAGTCACGTAGTGTCAGTTCAACTGTTTCGCCAAAGTATGGTTTAAAAGTTCACTTGAATTACTCATCTAGATCCGGATTCGATGATCGAGCGGTACGGATTCCCGACTGAAATTTCGGACGAAGAGACAGAATCCGGGGAGCGGGAAAGAAGCCTGGAAGGCAAGGGATGGAATCCGCACGGTCGAGAACTCATCTCCGCCGACCCACCCTTGGGCGTGTCTGGCTAGAGTAGGAGTATAACATCTCCTAAATTTTATGCGTGCATTATTCAGAAATATATATATATTATTGCCACGATTTAAAAAGTAAGGAAATCTCTCCATCTGATGAAAAAAAAAACTATGTGGAAAGAGAGGAGCTGGAAAGAGGCATCTCAATACCTTTGTATTTTTCATAATGTCTCCTTAATGTCTCCTGCATCAAAATAGTAGGTAAAATAACGTTATCCTGTCAAGAGAAACCTCCTACTCACTGAAGCCAGGTGTTCTATGTTAGACCTGAACGTTGCGCTTCCATGATATCCCAGTCACAATCATAATTAGTTAGCTCGTACTTTGATTGCGAATAGGTCCATCATTAATTTTAGCCAGCAGGACAGGTCAGATCTGTATCAAGCGCAGATAGCCTACGGTACTCTATTGGCCTTGCACTCAACTTGGATTCGGCAAGCCTGGCAGCCCCTCTGTTGATCATAGACTTAGACATATCCAAATCCTTCCTGAGTCCGATGGAGGATGGTTTGTTGCAAGCGTAGGTCCTTTAAAACTGTTTATTTGAAGAAGAAATTAGACCATTTAAAAGTATTTGTAAAAGCTTCAGCCCTCGTAAATGAACAAAAAGAGAAAATGGAAGGTGCTGAAGAGAGGCCTCATGGGAACGCGCCCTGGCTATCGTGAACCCCTGTCAAGGTTAGTGCTTGGGTGGAGAACCACCAGATATCAGCCGCTTAGCTTCCTTTTAATACATATCATGGTGAGATTGCTGATTCATCATGGAACCATGCTTAAAACTTTTTTATTTTGTTGCTTTTTATTCTTAGTTTTTTGGTTGGGCAACTGGTTGGACAATGTCTTGACTCCAACCTCTGTATTTCTTTATTTTTTTTTTCTGTTCTTATGGCGATAGAGCACCATACATCAAGCCTATCAGCCTTTCGTATTTGACTAACCTAAGCGATTTGTCAAGTGTCGAAGCTTCTGAGCTATTGGCCCCCCCCCCCTTCCCCCCAGGTTTCTCCAAGGCAGAAGGCATCCCAAGTCAAACTTGGCTCATGCAATTAAACTCATGGTGTCTTGCCTCGTCAGTCTCTTCTTCCCAAGACGTAGGCCTACGTGGGAGCGCCAGGCCCAATGTCCAGTTGGACCATAACTTGCTTAGGATGCCGTTGGGAAGGGGGATCGAGGTGGACAGAGAATTCTGGCTCTCAGTCCAAAGGGAGGTGGAGGAGAAGCCCAAGCCCGGCTTCCCTGCCCCTGAGAATGAAAGAGGCCGGCGAAGGTGAGTCAGAAAATGAGGGGAACTCGATGGAGCAGCTAAAACCTAATAAATCAGTGCTTGGGTGCAGTGGATTCTCGGCATTATGATATCGCACTTTTTGAACCATTCGGGAGCATACGATTAAACATCCCAGAAAATGAAGCAGCTTACTTTGACATTTTCCAGAACTCCCTATGGAAAAATCAGAGGATCAAAATTTTCAACTTTATTCTAATTTTTCATCATGGGGAATCCTTACAGAATCGATTCTGCTGTGTTAATCATAACATAGCATCAAATGCAGCTCAACAGATTAGGTTTATGCCATTTTAGAAATTCTCGGGAAATAAGTCTTTATTTCATCGTATGCTTGACAGTTTTATTCTCTTTTTTTTTATACATAATTTCTAGTCAAACTACACCAAAAGGAAGAAACGAAAAGTGCGGAAGATCGACGCTCATTTGTGAGGCGTCTCAGGGATTATCTGAGTCAACGAAGGCCTTGCAGTCGATGGGTTCCACGACGATCTCCCCGTGGACTGATATCCTTCTCGAGTTCAATCGCATCGGCCTGTTACGTAGGCTGGTCACTGCAACACACGCATAAAAATATTTCAGAGTCAGCAGGGATCGATCTTCCATATTCGTGTTTCGATGGATTCGGGAGTCTTGATGTCAAATGGCGACCTGAAACAAGCTCAGTTAGCAGATAGTTCAAAGCATGAAAGTATGATAGTATTGTAACCACACTGTTAGCAAAAATTGTTCAGCTTTTATCCCCTGAAGGGTGTTTAAACTGCAACTCATAGTTATCCTTTGCAGTTACTGTCTTTTGCCTTTTTGATAGGTTAATTAGAAAATCCTTCTAAAAATGTTAAATAATAAACCCAGCTGGTTTAATTTGTCACCTTCTGGCATACGTGTGATCATAAAAGTGGGAGACTTTCCTCTAACCCCATGCCGTGACATAAATGTCAGATACCATTTTCATCAGCCAGTTTTCGAGAGGAAGAAATTAAAGAAATATTAGTTGGTAGCCCGAGCAAAAGCACGGAAGAATTTAAAGATAATGTATGCGAATATGGCCATAGGAGGGCGGTCGCCATTCCCCCTGCACCCTGGAACCGCCATTGGCTGGCCATGTGAGAAGACAGGACGCGGCAAAAGCACCTCTAATTTCTGGAAGACCTGCCCCTGCGCTTCGTTAATCGTCATGGCAAAGGACGGGGAACTGACACCGAGCGAAGATGAAGGGTAGGGTAAAGCGGCGAAACCCGAACGTCTTCATCAAGGTGAGGGTTGAGTCGAACGCACGGAAAAATTCTCGTGATTTCGTTTTTCTACGCATCCTGTGCGGTACATCTCATGCTTTATTTTACCTCTATGTATGACAGATAAAACCATGAAAGGCCATGGACGACCATGCAGTTCCGTGACTGAGACAATGGAGAAGATCATTCGTGTCGAAAATTGTGTACCTTGTAATTAGGTTCAGGTTATGGAGTAGATACCTTGAATTTATTTTTTTTCTCATGGTGTACATCACGCATGTTGCCCAATTGCCTTCTCTAGCAATTATAATAGCCGTAGGTATATTTTATAGCATTTGGATTACATTATATCCATGGCTGCCAGAGGGAGAGATGTTTCTGTTCTCTGGTTGGAATACCTCGAATTTTGGTTAGGAAAAGAGAGAGTATAGTCTAAAAACAATTGCTGGAATTCAACCGTTTCATTCCTGGCGGGACTCAGAAGTTCCCACATTTTTTGGATGTTTTATTGAAGGACTATATAGGAATGCACGACATTGAGGCCTAATGGGACTTCTTCCCTGTGACCTCTTTTAGAATTTGTATGTTATTGGACGATGACGTTTCATTGCGGATGGTTGAATGAAGAAAATTAGTTATTATGTCATTTATATTTCTTTGTCAAGACAAGGGCTGAGCAAACCAAGCGAGGCTAGCAAGCTCTGTATTTTTTTCCCCTTATCTCTACCCCTTCCAATCGATCGCGTTGAAGTTTGACCTCGTTCCTCACTTGTTCTTCAAGTGCAACCGCTTTCCCTCCAGATTGAAGTTAATCTGTCATAAATTCACTTTAAAATCATTTACGTCGAAAATTTTCCATCCTAAGCATTAATATTGAAATAACGAGAAAACTGATTTAAATTGGAGAATTTAAACACATACAGTACAAGAAAATGAAACCATTCGAAAAGATGTTTGTGCTGCGTACAAATTATGTGTATCATTTAGGTCTGGAAAATAACATCATTTTATATCATCTTCTAATAATAATCCATCGTGATCTTTCATAGAACAATGAATTTGAGTTTTTCTTGCAAGTTTCTGCGTTTTTATTGCTAGTCAATATGAGTATGAAGATATGCAGGATCCAGGGGCAGAGGTGCAAAAGGCAATTATGTTTTTGCATCTTTATAGAGTTTTGACCCAAGACGCACGAGTGTTCGTGTCTAGGCGTGCCCCGTTCGACTTAATCCGTCAGCCTCTCATTCTAACCAAAATCACTTCTTCCGCAATACCTCGGTTGTGATAGTTTAGGGGCGTTTCATTCTTGCAGCATTGCAAGCTGCAGAAAAAGGCGAACAACGAGATATCATACAATTTGGTGATCCTCAAGGGAGGCGAGAGGTACCCCTCTTTTCGCCCCGCCTCACAATGCCATGCTGAAACCCGTTAGAGTTTCGTCGTTTTACCCTAACCCAAAGATCAAGACGTTACCTTAAATCGTCGCTTTGTAGGACAATGTGGTATGTGGGCTTTAATTGGCAGCCTCACACTGCTCACATCGCAACCCCCCGCGCACGTTTCCGAACATTAGTGGCCTTTGGCCACGATGCGTGTACCTGTTACTAGTATTATGGCTTTGAGAGAGCACACGCGATCGCGCTGTGCGGACGTGTTTGTTACATTTGCGCGCGCATGCCACCGACCCCCATCACAGACCGCAGAAAATTGCATAAGTAAATATCGGACAGTTTGCTTAAAACTGACTTTAGCGTAATGAAGATTTAAACTTCCATTAGCATCGCTAAAGGAGGTTTAAAGCTTTATTACGCTTCAGTCAGTTTTATGCAATCAACCCATCATGTTCATGCAAGGGCTCCCGTTTGGGAAGACAAACTACTCACATGAGGGAGATTCCTGGGAAAGAGGGAAGGACTATTCTACGCGCTGTGGGAACGGTGGTTCCATAACTCCATCTAGTGGTCTAAAGGGGAACTTTACATCACACAAATAACCCTTGCAAATGGTGTTCCACTGTCATCTATACTTTTTCTACTATTTAACCCTGAAAAGGTTAAAACCTGAGCTCTGTTTGGTAAAATCCGATTCCTAAGAAGGAATCATATTGGGGATAAATATTCCGCCTCAAAAAGGACATATATTTATTAATTTTCTTGTGCATAACCCGCTCGTGGTTATATCCCACTCAAAGGGTTGAATATCAAACCCTCCAGATCGAAAGGGATAAAAAGAATTCAGAGGTGGTTCAATAAACATCTAAATAACCCTTTGAGATAGTGTTGTACCGACATCTAACCATTTTTTTTCCTATTTATCTCCCAAAAAGATACACCCTGAACCCTTTTTGCTAACAATGCAGGAAGAGAAAAGGCCTCTGGCCTGGGTCCCATCGTTATTTCCTGTTCTAATTAAAATTTCTAAAAGAAATTCGACTGCCGCAGACAGAATGAAAGAGATACAATTTCCTGTCTGTTGTGGGGAGGACTTGCTCTCTCCCCAATGACCTAGAAAGGGACATAAATGGGACCCGTCAGCCAATTATGACCCGAATCGGCATTTTTCGAGAATTGGGATCACGAGGTACAGTGTACTCATCACTAAACCTTATAAAATCTTTCTTCGGAAATGCCTTGCCTTTCAAGAGTTGTTCTGAAACTACCTTCGTAAATGCGAGTAACCATAAAAAATTCCTATTATTACAATTTGACGTCACAGATTTGTCATGAGGTATGGCTCGAATTCCTGAACTTCGTAAGCTGTAGCATTCTCCTTTTCGTTCCTTGGGATAAATATTCCAGTTTGCATGGAGCCACGAATTTGCACAATGCAATCATTATGCTTGTAATTGTCATGGTGCTTTGTGATACCGTCTCATATATGAGGGGAAATTTGTAAAAATGTTGATTCCCTTTTCTGAAAAAAGGAGAGCCTCGATGATACCTCAGATTCACATCGAACATCCATATACCTGATATGGAGGTTCGCAAAAATGTAAAGTGCATGTGAACGGTTCGGAATGACTTTGGGACATTGGAACTTACGCTTCGGAGTGTATGTGGCTGAGATCCAGTCATTGTAGGTATCGAAGCAGCGAAATTTCGATTTCAGCTTGGCTTTTAGGATCTTTTTTATCTTTTCGTCCGAATGGACGAACACCAGGTCCTGACCTCGTTCTGCCAAGTCGGATAAGGTCGCCTCCACCGCCTGAAAATCATGAACCCATCCATTGATTTGTGTCTTTGATGTAAGTTCATTATGGATTTAAAGGCGTCTTCGTCTCACCATTGTGGAGGTGAAATCGATGGTGGATATCTTCTCACAGTCCATGATGACCGGGATGTCCAAGTTCTTTCTGGACTTCTTGATCAAGGCATTCCGAACCTGCTCTGTTGCTGGAAAGACGATTGGACCCTCCGGTTTGATCACCATGTAATTATGGTCTTCCAGCTGCAATACACCATTACACCTTTTTCCATTCCAAATTTTTTCGTGCATTCACGTTTCCATTGCAGTTGGTCTCTATCCGGTTGGTTTTTTCATTCATATAGTCCTTGCTCGACTGATGAATATCGATTGACTCCTGTGCTCTTTCCTGACGTATTTGTCTGCTTTTCTTTGCTTTAGGTTTAATTTATTACTTATAATTTGGCGAAAGGGAGGTGACTTTCTATCCTCATCGACTGCTATGAATGTGTTGCATGTAACTAACTTGTCTCTTCTGCACGACGACTTTTGGTCGGGCGATATCGAAGAGGAGCAGAATGAGATCAACCGCGATTCCCACCACTATGCCGTAGTCCAACCCCAAAAGAACACTGGGAAGAAATGTGGCAAACCATGGAACCAGTTCCAGTCCTGCAAAGAACACCATCATTGTCAACTTCGACTGCGATGTACACTATACTCTAAGAAGTTTTGGGACATCGTTTGCATTTGCTGCAGACACGATCCATTAGTTATCTGCCAGCATGCTGTTGGTCTTCCTCACTCACGATATCCAAGTTCATGTATCGATTTTTGCACCATATTCAAAAGGACAGATGTCCTTGTAGCTCCTTTTAAAATCTGCGTAAGTCTGCGTGCGTAACCTGTTGTCCGGTTCCGTGGCTCCTGCCACTTGGAGTCATATTCGAAGGTCGACAAGAACGGGGAATGACTGTTGTGTACCAGTTCACTTCCTTTTCACCTCGGAATTTCCCACAATTGAATTTTGAATGGCAGTTAGCTCTGCAACTTCACGAACAGACTTCCCATCAATTTAGCACTCGATTCCACGTCGACAGTGGGCGCATTCAGTTGTGACTCGATCTGAGCGAGTCATGACTCGTGGCATAGCCCACTTTGACATCTGACGCAACCTTCTGAATGCATTGGGTCATTTAATCAGCGAATTTTAGCTGTTTTTTGTGTAGTAGCAACAACAGAGGGAGTTGAAATGAGAAAATTGTGGAGAGGTACAGAATGCTCTTCAAGATCAAGTAACCTCTCCGGGATATTCACAACGCCCGAGATCGACCTCACCCTCTTGTTTATTGCATCGTGGTGCCACTCAAGGTAGTCGTCACCTCAGCCAACAATAAAAAATATTCCTTACGAAATTGGAATCTTCTCGAAGCAAATTTGAGAAGGCTTATGCACTTCTCAAAAGCAATTTCGGGATATTACAATTCATATTAGCTAGGTGAAAGAAAGGAACAGCCGTTGTGATATCCTTTTGTATCATTCACAACTTCATTTGCACGTTTCCCTGAAACTGTGTACGTACTCTCGCCGCTGGAAGCCATCCATGGATGTCGCCATGTTTGGAGTGACGACCCGACGATAATGACTCGATCTCAGAGATCGGGTTATAACACGTAACTCGGGGCAGGTTCCTGCGTCATCACCCGATGCATTCAGTGTTTCGTGCCGTGACTCGCGTTATAGCTCGGGTCGCAACTGAATGCGCCCAGTCTGTAAGCTGTGCACCGACAGAATTAAGTCCTGTGGCTGCTATATGCATGTTTTAAACATTGTACAGCTCATTTCACATGACCATTATGTGCAGTTGCTGACTTAAATCGTCTTATTGTTGATTAAATCCAGTTTCGTAACCTGAATATGACAAAAGAAAAAGATGTTTGGAATTTTCCTTAGTTGTGGCCTTACTTTTGCAGTCATCATTGGTATTTTAAAATTCCTAAGATTTCAATCTGAGTTTTTTATAGATAGAAATGTTCATGTTACATAACTGCAAAGTTTCAATAATATGGTGATTTATGTGTCATCAGCTGTACATTACACATACATGTGATTTATATCATTGGGAAGTGGGGGTGTCCCAAACCTGTTGGAGTGTAGAGAATACCTATGAAAGATGAGACAAACGAGAGGTTGTTAACTAGAATGTCAAACACTCACGGTTGACTTTCCAGATCTTGATGAGTTCCTCGTATTCAAACATGAAGATGACCGCACAGATGATGACAGATGCCAGGCAGGCCTTAGGGATGTAGAAGAAGTAGGGTGTCAGAACTCCTAAAGCCAGCAATACCAGTGAACCTACAGAAAAGCGGGAAACAAGACCGATTCAGCAAAAGATCTCGTCGTATTCCCTGAACATGTTTAGATGAAAGTAGCACCACCCTATCACAGGATAAATCTTAAAAAAAAAAACAATCAGAAGGAAATAATCGAGACTGAAGAGAACAGCTGAACGTCAAGACTGGACGTAGCAAAAAATCCTGAGGACACATCAAGAAGGGCATTTACCGCCAATTCGATTTTCTTTAACTTAACTCTTCCCATTTTGACAATGGTTCGAATGGTTGAGAGCTACTTGGAGGAGGAGAGGGCTCACCTGTGATGATTCCCCCGGCAGGAGTTTTCACCCCAGATGCGGCATTCACAACAGTTCTCGACAATGACCCACTGGTCGGAATGGAGGAGAAGAAAGACCCAGCCAAATTACATAAACCAAGTGCGAAAATCTCTTGGTTGAAGTCAATCGTCTTCCCTCGAGCTGCACAACCAATGTCAACATCAAATGAACTTTTCGGGATGATCTTCGTTGGAGCCATTCTGTGTTATGGCATCTGATTGCCCTGAAAACTAGGTGATCTTAATTAACTTGATTCATTAAGTAACTTTGATAACTTACACTTACTCTTAGAATACTTGTCCAGAACTGAATTTGTAATGTGAGTCGACCTAAGCTTAGAGAAAGCACCAGAACTCACCGAAGGCTTTGGAGACGGCGATGCTCTCCAGGATGCCGACGATGGGTACGATTATAATGGCAGGACCCAGCCCGGAGACCATTTCTAAGAAAGTCACGTCTGTCCCGTTCCTCACGGTTCCGAAGGAAGGAAGGCTGAACGAAGGAATGCCTGGGTTCACGTCCCCTATATCAATGTCCAAACACATCCTTTCCCGTCTGTCATTTTAGAACTTAGCAATACTCAACGTAGATTTTTCACTATTTTTTCGCAATTTGGTATGAGATTTCATTTCTCTTCAATTTCGATTTTAATTTTATTTTACGTGGAAACATAATATCAAATGCATTTTTTCACGTCTGAAATTTTAGTGTCACTACTTCTATTTTAATGTCAATCTCCCCCATTCTATTCGTTCTTCCATTTTCGCTTTTGGTTTCTCCCATACCGGTGAGGGAGAGAGGTTTCTCGGGATCGTGTCCGTTGACGAAGAAGGCGACGAAACCGCCGAGGATAATGACGAGGGCGTTTCGTGCCGTGCTCATGAACCAGATCGTCTTGGTCACCACCGTCAATGGCGACTGCTTCTTGATCACCTTCGACAGGTCCCACATCCTCGCTTTCTACAGTACAAAGTATACCATACCCATTCATCTTCTTGATGTCCTTTAGCCTTTAAGGTTCAATATTTTCTCTTTTATATAAGAAGGATGTTCATGCCGTGTTTAGAGTACATCAGTAACAGTCGGTTACACTTCAACCCCTCACACATTATGGAAGCTCATGTAAAACTTGAACGTACTCATCCTATGTTAAGAATCTCGGAGGAATACTTGTTGCTAATACGGCTCATAATTTCTACGATTCTTTTCCCTGTCAAATACACCATACTCCGTAATATACCGTTTCAGCTCGGGCAAACCTGCCGCTCCGTTAACTCATTCAGCCGAAGCCACCTCGCAGAGGCTCATGAAATGACGGGAATATAAACTACCCTTCAAAAAGTGAAGATCCACCCACTCATAAGAGTCAAGAACCCCTTCCAGCCGTGGGAAAGTTACCAGCATTTCCTCAAGTCTTCCTTCATGCTATGACAATATGCAGGGCAGGCCAAAAGTAATTGTTGGAGTTCGATCGGACACCTCACCAAGTGGCACCAAATAACCACGCCCCACTACAACGCAGTAAGCTCCCGTCGTGCTGCCATCTTGCTATTAACTGATGCTCCAGGCAGTAAACAGGTATTGTATGCCTGCTGCCTGCAGGCATAGTTACTGAGGCCCCAGTAACGTTACACTACTATGTCATCATTTGCTGAGTGGCCCTTGACTTTTTGTAATACAATATGGAAGGGGGTGACGAGTGTAGTCAACAATTTCGACTCCATCGCATCACTTTTTCTTTTATCATCGATCCTTCCCATCATCAATATTTTCTTTCTTAAAACCAGATCCATTCCTCTCGGTTGTGCAGGAACTAGAACTGTAACTTTTTGGAACCAAACGCTAACTGCAAACAAGCTGATCAGTCAAGCAATGAACTGGTGGTGGTATTGACGATCTGATGCCTAGAGGAAAAGGGACTACGCATACACAGCTCATTCTGGGGATGAGGACAGAGCTTAGATCAGTTTTCGTTTCTCGTTTCCCAATGGCCTTATCTTGTTGCATTACACAAGGTGTTGCAAAAGTCACTTTCGTTCCTCAGGCAGCTGTGGACCGCGCATGGGCGACGCAAGAGGGAAGAAATCAGTTAATGGACTAATACCGCGTATGTCTAAGTGGAGGCTGATGTGCGCAATTAAATCATACATGCCATGGTGGCACTATCGTGTCTCGTGCCCTCACTGTGGAGACAAGAACCACCACAAGCATATGCTCAGAATCAAAAGGCAGCATACACCCGGAGATTCGTCTTAATCCTGAAATAATGCAGCGCAGTGGTGCGGAATGTGTTGCCGCGCATTGAGGCCATCCGAGCTCAGCCCAATGAAGCTCAGCTTGAGTCATCGTAATAATCACCTGGCGGCATGGGCGGCTCGTGATATTCGACAGCAGTGGATTGTCAATGGCAGCAAGGTTGCCCAGGCCTACCCCCTCCTGAGCAGAATGCTGCGGTCGCAGAACTCGCGGCACGATGGTGGCGCAATCATAACATCTCATTTGCATACGCGTATCAGCTTTCGCATAATCAAATTGGACCAATAACTCATTTTTCCCGTCTTACGCCACTCCGTGCGCGTTCCACAGCTGCCTGAAGAGCGTAAGTGACTTTTGGAACATCTTGGTCTTGCACCAAAGGGAAGTTTCTCTATCCTCTTCAGGACAGAGGAGAAAGACAGAAGAACCGTCTCGACAGACGAGTCAAGCTGAATCTTTACCTGTTTTCCTATCTACCTCAACTGTCTGCTCTTTTCCTTCTCCCTATCTTCATCTTACCGTGCCAATGTAAATCCGTCAAAGGTTGCAGGTAGGTTTTATTGCAGGGAGACCCGAATGTCGCGAAAAAAGCGATAAGAATATGAATTGCGGAGATGCGATGGGTGGAATGCACACACGTGATCCATAGGAAGTAGAAGAGACTTTACAAGATTTTACATACAAGTACCTGAAACTCTCGCCCTTTGAAATAATGCCTCTGTCACATGAATATCTCTAAAACTTAAAGAGGTTAGCCTTGAATTGCCGGAGAATGGGAACCCTTTGGAAAGGATTTCCAGCCCCGTCTTGATATGCAGTGGCCAATACCAGACTGTGCAAGTATTGTGTATCATTGGAAAGCATTTCCGAAGCCGGCTTCAATGAGGATTGCAAGTCTGGAGTCCTAAATGCTATGTAATAGTGTCATATGTGAGGAGCATCAAGGCCGGGTTCAAAATTGTAAGGACCGAACGTCTTTTCTTTTATAAACCTATACGAGGTTCTCTTGACGCAACATCCTGTGCTACTAGGCATGAGCGGCTCGTGATATTCAGCAGTATTGTGTCGTCAATGGGGATAGGATAGGCTGACTATCCACTTCTGCTGAATATCACGAGCCGTCACTGTCTCTGTTTTATGCTTATTTTTGACTTCATACATTTGACCTGTCTCTTTTAGGCAATTTTTATAGAAACAATTTCGAAAGGAGGTTGACAATCGGCTTCGGTAGAACTTCTACAAGTAATGGATCATCCTATTGTTGATACCTCGAAGTGCTATGTGCTTTGGTTTTTGTGTCAAGGCACCCTACTTTCTGATCACTAGCGCCTCGGTCATGCATTGTGATTTAGGGTCTCTGACCACGTTAATCCCGGACCGTTTACATATACAAAATGCTTAAGGTCAATGGTGTGCCATCACCTCAAATCACCCTAATTTTTCCATGCGTGGCATGGAAAATTTTGTGGTTCTGGCGAGGAAGAAATATTCTTCATAAAATACAATCTGCAAAGATCAGAGTAAGACATGTCCGTCTTATGTTTTTGAAAGCGAGATTAAATCTTGAATTATTTTCATAACATTGTCTTTGTTCCCTGCGGGGTTTGTGTATATCGAGGCTACGATCGTTTTTCTCCTAAACCGACGAGTTCGAGACTTTCAACATAAAATTGCTTAGCAGACGAGACCCAATCGCAGAATGACTGTTTCGTAAAAATGGGGTCGTTTCGTGGGATAAAAACTCGTACATCGGTACCCTTTTCGATTATACAGGGTGATTCAACACATCCTGCCCACCATTTGAACGAGAATAACTTCTCAACGCTTGATCTCATCGAGATGCTGTTTTCACCATTCGAAAGACTAGACAATTCTGCATCGAATGAAGGATTTTCGCATTATTTTGCTAATGGTATCATTCGGAAATTAAATTTCTATTCTGGGGGTTATACAAAGGCATTGGCACGTGAAAACACGCTTGCGGCACCGCATCCAATACCTGTAGTCAGTTCGAGTGTGAGAGTCAGTGTGCCTTGGCTGTGATCGATTCCAATTCATGTATGATTAAGGAAAATGGCTGATAAGCGATTGATCATCGATAAGCGAGTTGCAAAAGTTCAGATTGCTCCGAATGTGACGGAAACCGTTCGACAATTCTGAAAGAAATTGATCGGAGAAACCGTCAGCTGCAAGTAACATGCGTGCTGCACTGTGTCTAATTTTCCTTTCGACTGTCAGAGTGTGTCCAGACGTCTGCTACGTTTCCGGTCCTGTCAAAATTTGAGTTGATACGGGCAAACCACTTGCGGCTGACGGTTTCTCTATGTCAGGTAATTGTCTAGTCTTTCGAATGGTGAAAACAGCATCTCGATGAGATCAAGCGTTGAGAAGTTATTCTCGTTCAAATGGTGGGCAGGACGTGTTGACTCACCCTGTATAAGCCTCGCGCTACGACTTCTCATACGGACGGCTTCGAGACCTCACATTCGATTTGGTGCAGTTCGATGTCTTGAGTATAGCATTTCAGGCTTCAAAGTGTATCTGCATCATCTATCAATCTAGAAAAGAATTGTATTTTAGAGAAATTTCCCCTCCACTTCACGGCAACATTAAGAACATTCCACAATTCAGTAAAGGCCTAGTCTCACTCCAGAAAAGTAACAACATTAAATCTCGCTTTCGATTTTGAAAATGGAATCAGCCCACACGTGACTTTCTTCAGTTCATTGCCGCCGGTCCTTCTTGCGAGTCCTTCCATGTCCCGCTGATGCTTATGATCGTGCAATTCAGATGGCCCTTCTACGAAATCCATTCCATTCTTAGTAGTGATCCAGGTAACTTCTATTAATGCTACGACAGTATTCCTTTCTTTTCTTTCTCGCTTCCATCGAATACATGGCCTCAGACTTTCAATTAATGCTGATAAAACTTGGAACTCACATATTCCATTACCGATGCCACAAACGCCATACACCAGAAGCAGCTTTTACTTCACTTATTCGAGTGTGATATCTCCAAGCTGTCAGATCTGAATTAGGACCTTCAGCCCGGCCAGAGTTATAGGTTCTGCCTGGGAAACGATTTCTTGCGAAAGGAGCCCCACAGCTAAAATCTGCTATTCGACGAACTGAGTTGTCTATGAAACGGATCTCTCGGTGAATCGATTTTCTGCGAAAACGTCTCGCTTCCCTTGACAGAGACAAGGACGAGACCATCTTGGTGGTAGAAGATATGCTCTTAGGTGTTTGTATCCAAGACGACCTTTAGATACACTGCCTCTTCACCTTTCCTTTCCTTCCAGGGGTTTCTGTCTGCACTGAAGATACGGTATCCCTGAAAAGCCACAGCCATGCCTGGCGGTCAGTCATTTTTTTTACTCACAGAAAGCACACACTGCTGAAGTTGATCTATTTTGAAGCATATCTTGAATCACTGAAAAACCTAAGCCTAAGAGCCTATTAGGCCCAGGCTACGAACGTTTGCGCAGATGCTTTTAGACGATTGTTTTCTACAGGTAAAACCGATGAGCAGTTGTCGTAAGGAGCCTCCTATCTACACGGTGTTTCAAAAAAAGCTGTGCCAAATCAATTTCGCTATTAATGGCAGTAAATTTTATCAGATCAACTTAATTTTAAAAACACTGCATGTAGAAAGATGAAAGAAGGTATGTGCCAAATTTTAATAAAATTGACTCATTTTATCATGTTCTAAAGCATTTCAAACTTGACATGTCAAATAGTGTGCAGTACAAACTCAAAAAAGTCAACATTCGTATTTTTTATCCGAATGTTAGTTAATTCCATTCGGTCAGTTCAATATTTCACAAACTGCATGTGCATAGATGAAAGAAGGCTTTGGCAAATTTGAACGATATTGACTGAACATATCACGTGATACATCGTTTAAAACTTAAAGGCTAAGAAAATCCAACGGACATGCCAGCTGATGCGTTCGTCTAAGCCAGTGAAGCGAAGCCCCTTTGCCGTTCTGGATGGCACACAGACGCTCGCTTGCTGCACAGCTGAGACGAACGCATCAGCGGGCATGTCCGGTGCATTTTCTCAGCCTTCAAGTTTTAATCGGTGTATCACGTGATACATTCGGTCAATATCGTTCAAAATTTGCAAAAGCCTTCTTTCATCTATCCA